CTTTGATCTTTATGATGTCTTCTGCTAACTTTGGGTTTTGTTTGTTCTTCTTTCTCTCGTTCCTTTAGGTGTAAGTTTAGATTGTTTATTTGAGATTTTTCTTGTTTCTTGAGGTAGCCTTGTATAGCTATAAATTTCCCTCTTAGAACTGCTTTTGCTGCATCCCATAGGTTTTGGATCATCGTCTTTTCATTGTCATTTGTCTATAGGTATTTTTTGATTTCCTCTTTGATTTCTTCAGTGATCTCTTGCTTATTTAGTAATGTATAGTTTAGCCTCCATTTGTTTTGTGTTTTTTATGTTTTTTTTCCCTGTAATTGATCTCTAATCTCATAGCGTTGTTGTCAGAAAACATGCTTGATATGATTTCAACTTTTCTTAAATTTACTGAGGCTTGATTTGTGACCCAAGATGTGATCTATCCTGGAGAATGTTCTGTGCGCACTTGAGAAGGAAGTGTAATCTGCAGTTTTGGTATGGGATGTCCTATAAATATCAATTAAATCTATCTGGTCTATTGTGTCATTTAAAGCTTCTGTTTCCTTATTTATTTTCATTTTGGATGATTTGTCCGTTGGTGTAAGTGAGGTGTTAAAGTCCCCCACTATTATTGTGCTACTGTCAGTTTCCTCTTTTAGAGCTGTTAGCAGTTGCCTTATGTATTGAGATGCTCCTATGTTGGGTGCATGTATATTTATAATTGTTATATCTTCTTCTTGGATTGATCTCTTGATCATTATGTAGTGTCCTTCCTTGTCTCCTGTAACATTCCTTATTTTTAAAGTCTATTTTATCTGATATGAGTATTGCTACTCCAGCTTTCTTTTGATTTCCATTTGCATGGAATATCTTTTTCCATCCCCTCACTTTCAGTCTGTATGTGTCTCTAGGTCTGAAGTGGGTCTCTTGTAGACAGCATATAGATGGGTCTTATTTTTGTATCCTTTCAGCAAGCCTGTGTCTTTTGGTTGGAGCATTTAATCCATTTACGTTTAAGGTAATTATCGATATGTATATTCCTGTCACCATATTCTTAATTGTTTTGGGTTTTTGTAGGTCCTTTCCTTCTCTTGTGTATCCCGCTTAGAGAAGTTCCTTTAGCATTTGTTGTAGAGCTGGTTTGATGGTGCTGAATTCTCTTAGCTTTTGCTTGTCTGTAAAGCTTTTGATTTCTCCATCGAATCTGAATGAGATCCTTGCCGGTAAAGTAATATTTGTTGTAGGTTCTTCCCTTTCATCACTTTAAGTATATCATACTACTCCCTTCTGGCTTGTAGAGTTTCTCCTGAGAAATCATTTGTTAACCTTATGGGAGTTCCCTTGTATGTTATTTGTCGTTTTTCCCTTGCTGCTTTCAATACCTTTTCTTTGTCTTTAATTTTTGCCAATTTGATTACTGTGTGTCTCGGCGTGTTTCTCCTTGGTTTTATCCTGTATGGGACTCTCTGCGCTTCCTGGACCTTGGTGGCTATTTCCTTTCCCATGTTAGGGATGTTTTCGACTATAATCACTTCAAGTATTTTATCTGGTCCTTTCTCTCTCTCTTCTCCTTCTGGGACCCCTATAATGCAAATGTTGTTGTGTTTAATGTTGTCCCAGAGGTCTCTTAGGCTGTCTTCATATCTTTTCGTTCTTTTTTCTTTAGTCTGTTCCGCAGCAGTGATTTCCACCATTCTGTCTTCCAGGTCACTTATCTGTTCTTCTGCCTCAGTTATTCTGCTATTGATTCCTTCTAGTGTAGTTTTCATTTCAGTTATTGTATTGTTCATCTCTGTTTGTTTGTTCTTTAATTCTTCTTGGTCTGTGTTAAACATTTCTTGCATCTTCTCGATCTTTGTCTCCATTCTTTTTCTGAGGTCCTGGTTCATCTTCACTATCATTATTCTGAAGTCTTTTTCTGGAAGGTTGCCTATCTCCACTTCATTCAGTTGTTTTTCTGGGGTTTTATCTTGTTCCTTCATCTGGTACATAGCCCTCTGCCTTTTCATCTTGTCTATCTTTCTGTGAATGTTAGATTGTGCTTTTGCTGGTACGACAACAAAATTCTTACATGAGATGTGAGGAAAGCATCTTTTTTATACCGTAACTGTTCACGTCAATCAGAAGAGTATCCTTGAAATAGTCTTTTATGCTTCTTTGTGGGAGAGACATGGTTTGAAGAACATTTTAGGAAGTACTAAGTCAAGTGTGTATATTAACATCTTTTAGAACAAGTATATTTGGGGTAGAATGTAAAGGCTTAAAATGTGGATTTTAGAGATTATTGGCTGGGCATTCGATATATCTGAAGGAGGGGAAAAAGGGGCCTTGTTCTGTTTAATAAAAAACTTATAACATGGTAATGCTACTGGTAGCTTAGTGACTGATCTTGGAGAGAAGCTTTCCAAATTAAAGGAGTAAAAATGTACCTATTCTTTTTTTTTTTTTTAATTTGGACATATCTTTAAAAATGAACCTTTTATCTTAAAGTTCTTAAACCGCAAGAAAAAAAAGTGTATTTATTTATATTATCACCTAAGTTGATACTTAGTTCTTCTCTTGACAATCTGGTCTGTCAAGCCTCTTATTATTATAAACTGAAAACAAACAGGCCCAATAATCCAAAAGTCATTTGTTAATAGTAAAATCTGAAACATTTAAAGTAATAGAATCTATTTCTGTGTAGTTGAGGATTTTTTTATTCTTTTGCTTTGTCAAGTGACAGCTTAACAGATATTATCCTGTCTTCCTTCTTCTGCCCTACCTCTCTATTCAGCACCCTTGAGACTTCTCCCCCTTCATTATGAAAATACCATTGTGATAAACCACTACTTACTGAAAGTTATTGGGAAGTAAAATATTCTGCCTTAGGACACCTTCTGTAACAATACTTAAGTCTTGGTTCTTTAGAAGGTACTTACTTATAAGGCCTAAGGATCTTCATTATGTATTGTATTGCAGGTAGATAGAATTGGTATACATGTTCTGAATTGATATGTCATTTATTACATAGCTGTTTTTTTAAGAAGGATTTTCTGATAAAAGCCAAATGCTCAGCTTCTGTGATCATCTTATAAAACCAAAGTTTAGAATGTGCAAAGTCTAAGTTAATTGAATGATTTTGCTAAATAGGAGTTTTAAATATAGTTTTTATAGCATATACTTGATTAATGCTTAACTGTAGTTTGATTTGATTAACGGTGACTAAGGAGATTATTCTGTGTTGAGTATAAATGTTGAATGTGTGAGATGTAATTTTTAAACCAGCTTTTTTAAAAAAGCTATTCTGAAATTAATTTAAAATAGTTATAGATCTCATTGAAATCAGAGATCCCAAGGAAAAGAATTCAGCTGTAGGATGCATTTATTAAGTTCATTTATTTCATTTCTGTCTTTTAAAAGGTACTTTGTATATTGGAATAGGAATTCTAACCCTAAATTTTCTGAGGAAGTTTTGTGGGAAGGACTTCCTAGCCAGTGAGTCTAACATAAGTACAGTACTCCAAAAAGTATATAGCACAAAAATTTTTTAGAAATTAAAGAATAATATAATGACTTTGGCAGCCACACTTTCTCTTGTCCAGATGATTTTGGAAGACATTAGTGTTTAAGTGTCTTAAATGATAGAATTGATCTATTAAAAGGTATTAGTTCTGTCACTTTCTGAAATGGCCCAAGATTAAGGTTTTCCAAAAAACGTTATTTCTACTTTGTTTGAGATGCTGATCACTCAAGCTTTGTTGTAATTTTAGAAGCCTCCTTATCTACTGAAAACTGAATTGTGTAATATAGCTCCTGGATTTGTTGGAAGGTGGCAATGTTCTATTAATATTTAGTTATATTTTCTATTTATTGATATTAATGATTCTCATATGAGTAATGTATATTTTACTAATTGCTGTAAACTCATTTCATTCACGTATCCTTTAAATTTATTTAAATTTGGTTATTCATAGTGATAGTGCCCTTGCAGTTAACATGGTTTTCCAATTTTTCTTAAACTTTGTAAATCTGGTAGTTAAAATGTAAACATTCAAGGGATCTTTTTATGGGTGAATTAACACTAGAAGAAAAACACAGCTGGCAAATTGACAGTAGCATTGTTAAACAGTTCATTTCTTCTGTTCTGAGGCACCTAACATTTGGCCTAAAAGGCCATTAAAATTTTGGATTAGATTCTGTTTGTATTGTATAGTAAAAAAAAGTATTTCCTCTGTATTTGCTCTTTCTGTTAAATTAAATTCTATGTGGGAACCTTTGTAAATTGCATTCAGAGATTTGACTGTGATTACCTTGGCTCCCTTTTAAATGCTTCGCCTAATTACATTTTGAAAGCCCAGATATGTATCATGTATATGATTTATTAATCTAACATTCCTGATACCTTTTGCAAATACTACATATACAACATGCACACATATGGGACCTAGAGTGTAAAACCTTCGGAGATACTCTCTTAAGGCCATGTCATTCAATTTGTTTTCAAAGTTGTTACTAATAATGTGAACTTGGTGAAGGTGCTGTGTTTTACCCAGTCTGATCATTTTTGGTATTTGAACATTTTTCTTGTTTTCTAGTTTTAAGTTCTCATATGTATTCTGTTAACTTTGAGGAAGCTTAGAAGACTTATAATGGATCACCAAGTTCCATGTAGTCTGTTTTAGGGCTGTCTATAACTGCAGTATACTTTGTTAAAAAAGAAGAAACAAAATCCCTTCTGAGGAAGTGGAATTTTGTTTATTTCAGGCCAGTTGGAGAAATATTTACATTGTCTTAAAATTAAAAAAAATTTTGGGGGTAATCGTCCAGACTTACCAAAAAAGTTATAAAAATAGTACAAGTAGTTCTTAGATATCCTTTATCCAGCAAATCTATTTTCCATCCACGGAGTAAGAGGGTGGGTAGAGAATGAGATTATGGCTTAAGCAAATCATTCAAACAATCTTGTCTTTAAGTTTCTAGATGTTAAATCTGATTTCACTTAAAAGCCTTGTGGGGGATTTTGTCTGTTTGTTTTTTAGGGTGACTCAGACTTATGATGCAGGTGCATGTATCTATTTCTACTTTGCCTTTAACTACAGGGGAATCAGTGACCCACTGACTGTGTTTGAACAAACCGAGGTAATTTTGCATACATGAATATAGCTCTTACATTCTTTTATTAATTTAAGTAAACTTTACTATCAATTTATGAATTTTAGTTTGACTGTCTTTAATAACTTGGGGTTTACCTGGTTGATAGCCCATAGAAATGAGAAACATAATTTTTACACTGGATTGAATACTGAATTAGAAGTCTAAAATTCATGTTCCCTATACATATTACAATTAATATTCTAAAATTAATATTCTGTTGCCTGTGATTCTTTGGATATTACTTATAGTACATAATACCTGATTAAATTAAATAACAGAAGACTATATGGACCCTTGATATCACTTCAGCAGCCCAGCCAGCTCCATATGGTGACTGCTTTTGAGGTCAGCGGCTCTAAAGCTCTTGGCCTATGTTGCTGTAATTTCCTAATTCTAGGTTTATAATTTTTTTGTTTGCTTAAGTTATATGTAGGCCTTTGAGGTTCATTTGCCAGCAGCTTCTATCACATTTCTTAAATGACCTTAAGCGTCTAATTTTTATAATGCCTTCTGTTTGATAGTCAATATTTCTGATGACAAGTATGCCTAGAGTTGAAGAAACAGACTAGACTGTGGAGGAAGCAGGAGGAGACTGGGGTTTGTTAAAAATAAAACCTCAGGTGTCCTAGTGTTAACTCTGTTGCCTGCCTGCCAAAGGTAGTACCACAAGGTGATTTTCAGTGGCACACTTTTAGACCCAAACCACAGGGTATGGTTGGCTCCCTCTTATGCCTCCTTTTTTTAAAAAAAAAAAAAACAACAGCTTTTCTGAAGTATAATTGAGATATAGTAAACTGCACATAATATGTACGGTTTCATGGGTTTTGACCTATGTATGCACCTGTGAAATTGTAACCCCAATCAAAATAATGAACATAACCATCATCCTCAAAAGTTTGAGTCCTGGGCTTCCCTGGTGGCGCAGTGGTTGAGAGTCTGCCTGCCGATGCAGGGGACACGGGTTCGTGCCCCGGTCCGGGAAGATCCCACATGCCGCGGAGTGGCTGGGCCCGTGAGCCATGGCCGCTAACCCTGTGTGTCCGGAGCCTGTGCTCTGCAATGGGAGAGGCCACAACAGTTTTGGTGTTGCCCTCTGGCTACCCGAAGGCCTCTTCCCCATAGTACTACAAAAATGAAAGTGTTCCTTCTTTCCCAAGCCAAACAGCCATTCTCTAAGTGCTGCTGGTTTCAAGTAGTTATTGCTTTACATAAAATAATTTGTTAGAAGACATAGTCTCTTCGAGTAGGGCTAGCATATGTATGATTCATTTGAAAAACCCTAAATTCTCAGTGATGAGGGTTCTTATAAATTACTTTGCAATGAGATGTGGTCCATCTGTCCTTCCTGAAGGGAGGGCCTCTTCTACTGTGGCCTAACTCTGATGGTTTATACACACCCAAGTAATTCTAGGAGGTTCAAGGCACTGTAGGGATTTTACCTCATATCTGTTATATACTCATGAATTGAATGTAATTCCAGTTTCTGTAACCCTTCTTTCACCCTGTACTTCAGTCATTCTATACATTGCTTTAAGTGTTTATCTTTCTAACCTTATTGCTCTTTAAGGAGCCTAGTTGGAGCCTAACATGTTAAGAGGATAAAACAAGGTGTTTTTTTTCACACTTAGATATCCATAAGCCTGAGAAGTAATTTGTCCCAAGGCATTGACCTAAGAAATGTTCTCCATAAGGGTTTTACCATTAATCCCTGATAGCTTTGTAAGTAATCTTGAGTCTTATGCCCACTGTATGATATTAGGTGAGTAATTTAACCATCCAAGCCGCATTTTCTTTATCTGTGAAATAGGAGTAATTGAAATTATTCCATAAGGCTTTAGTGAAAATAACTGAGTAATTCCAGGTAAATTGCTTAGTACTTTTCTGGACATACCATATACAGTCAATTAATGTTTGTTGGTATAGTGAGATGTTTACTTCAGAGTAGGACCGGACTCCTCACAAAACTTATTTTTTTATTGTTATTAATCATTTAGTGCTGATGGATTGGTCATTTTGCCTTCTTTTTCTTTTCTAGAATCTTGATGTAACAATTGTAGACACTGCGACTATTCACTAGAAAAAAACTTATAAAGTTAGGCTGCATATTTTAATTGCTCTTTAAATACAGTTAACCTAAGAGAAAGGAAAATTAGGCTTCTCTTTTATTATTTAACCCAGAAAGTATGTATCTCCTTTGGGAGTTGGGTCTTACTTTTTCACCTCAAAGTGATCTATTTGTTGTTTTGTTTCCAAATACAGGCAGCTGCTAGAGAAGAAATCCTCGCTAATGGAGGGAGCCTGTCGCATCACCACGGAGGTATTCTTTTTTGGGGGTAGAATTTCTAATATTCCTACTGTTTAAAATATTTGGTTTGATACAGTGCTAGGGGGAGTCATAATATGAGTAATTTGAGAGCACTAGGCCTCTCTTTGAAGTTGTTATGTCTGTCACTGAGGTTGCCTGTGCTGTGGTAGTAACTGACAGAAGCTTGATTTGACAAGCCTGCCTAGATAACAGAACCTAGACAGCCTTCTGAGTTCTCAGGAACTTCATGTCACCCAAGATAGCCCAGCAAGCCTGGGAGGTATTTGACCATTAGAGCAAAAATTTTTAAAGGGGGAAAAAGAACCTACCTAAATGTTTTTTGTTTTTTTAAATAAATTTATTTATTTTATTTATTTTTATTTTTGGCTGCGCTGGGTCTTCGTTGCTGTGCGCAGGCTCTCTTCAGTTGCAGCAAGCGGGGGCCGCTCTTCATTGTGGTGTGCAGGCCTCCCATTGCAGTGGCCTCTCCTATTGGGGAGCACGGGCCCCAGGGGCGTGGGCTTCAGTAGTTGTGGCACGCGGGCTCAGTAGTTGTGGCTCGCGGGCTCCAGAGCGCAGGCTCAGCAGTTGTGGCACACAGGCTCAGCTGCTCTGTGGCATGTGGGATCCTCCCAGGCCAGGGCCCGAACCCATGTCCCCTGCACTGGCAGGCAGACTCCCAACCACTGCACCACCAGGGAAGCCCTACCTAAATGTTTTTCATCCACTATTGGAATGTAGCTAAAGTCAGTTGTACTATATATTGAATAGCTGTTTGTTCTGCCCACCCAAAATTCAGCAAATTAATCAAGGTGGGATATGAAAAAATCTTCTTTTCAAGATTTTAACGCTGTTTTAGTCTTTCTTTTTGATCATTGTAGTATTTTTATTGGAGAGTTGATCACATCAGTAATAAAAATTATGATATATCTACCTGTGTTATATCTACCTAGACATATCTACCAGTGTTTTTAATATATCCCTCAATATAAATTGGTGCCTAGAAAATATATGTATAGATTTTTTTAATTAAAAAAATTTTTTTAGGGAAGTGCATGAAGATAAATGACCACTGAATTTAAAAATTTCAGCTTATACTCCTACTCTGGATTCTCCATATCCCTGTTTCCCTGTTTGATTTTCCATCATAGCATTTAGCATTATCTAACATGCTATATATTTATACTTCTTGAGATTAGCTATCTCCTCCTACTGGTAAGTAGGATCCATAAGGACAGGGACTTCTGTTTCATTTCTGTGTACCAGCACCTAGAACAGTGCTTGGCCCCAGTCAGCCCTCCATACATGTTTGTAGGATGATTGAAAGAATTTTGGTAGAAAACAGAGTGGGCTGTGGAGGATCTGTGTTCATATGACATTATTGCAGGCAGGCCTGAAGAAGATTGCTAATGTGGATGAATGAAATAGACAATTCCCAGCATCATTGTATCAATTTAATCTTTTGCATTCCCTCTACTTTTTCTTAACCTCCACAAATAAATTTCTAACTTAGCTGACTGATAAGCATTAAAGTGAATGAATTTGTTCTTTTCGTCCTTTTCCTGTTTATTACCTTTTGATGGAGATTCTAATGAATGCTAGAACGACAAAAATGAAGAAGGGAAGAAACTGGATATTAGAAACGTCTCAAGTGAAATTAAAAACTTTTAATTAATCTAAAAGTCTAAACCTAATTTTGGAACTGTAAACATGAGGTATTTCATAAAGGTGCTTAGAATTTTAGCACCTTCCTTTAAAATGTTCAGAAAGCTATATACTTTATTTTAAATCTTTTTTGTATATTTTATTTTAGGATGCCACTATATTACTATGTAATTTACAAGTATACTTGTAAAATTACATAATATCATTAAGTAATATGTTCTTCATTCTAAATTGATTTCATGGAGGGAGGAAACAGAATAATTTAGCTATAATTAATTATTTGAAGAAAAAAAGAATTTTCCTTTCCATAGCTAACAACTTTGCCTTTTGGTACATGTCAGCAGCCAACAAGTGCACTTTTTCCTTTAAGGTCAGGAACTGTAGGAGCTATGTTTGTGATAGTAAATATGAGAGAGATGTGATTCTGCAAGAGGGTAAGAATAGCCAAATCTTGTACTATATAGAAAGAAATAGAGGCTTAATTGTTATTTAGATAACTGGGTTATATGAACTAATTTCCTTAATTGTGAGAGGATGTTCTTCGTTTACTTAAGCTTTACAGTGAGATAAATTCTACAGAAGTTATGGAAATGACCAAATGACCTGCAACATTGTGGAGGAAAGCCAAACCAACGCTTTTTTTTCTTGCTAATGACACTTTACTCCTTTAGGATCTATGAGGATATTCAGGTCCCACCAATAGTGTCTATATGTGAGATGCTGAAAGTTTAGTATGGCAGAAGTGTTGACAATACTTATTCAGGTACACCCCAGACACTGAGAGCTTCTTAGCAGGCTCTAACATAACCTACATAAACATACTTGAAATAATGTATGTGTGAAGCTGTCATTACAGGAAAAAAAAAAATACACACAAATTTAAAATAATAAAGAGTTAAGTAATTCTAGTACAAATTTATTTGAGACTAAGACTTTATTTGTGAAAGCTGTGGTTAATAATCTGTTTTATTATTCAGTAAACAAATAGAAGTTAAAGAATAGTTGAAAAGATATAAACCTTAATTAACCAAAAGATCATGATTATTCAATTCTTGATTCCAAAGCAAAAAATATAAATAGCTCCTGGGATATTTTTGATACCAGGTATGCCTAATGCCTTTTTTTTTTTTTTTTTGCGGTACGCGGGCCTCTCACTGTTGTGGCCTCTCCCGTTGCGGAGCACAGGCGATGCGCAGGCTCAGCGGCCATGGCTCACGGGCCCAGCCGCTCCGCGGCATGTGGGATCTTCCCAGACCGGGGCATAAACCCGCATCCCCTGCATCGGCAGGCAGACTCTCAACCACTGCGCCACCAGGGAAGCCCCCTAACGCTTTTTAGTATTGTTGTATAATATGTTTTCCACATTATAAATATTACTGGTCCACTAGGCAATAGGATTTCAAAGAATGGTAGTCCTTCCCTTGAAGGATCTTACAGTCCAGTAAAGTAAAATATTATAGCATTTCAAAAGGCTGCTGATCAAAACTGGTAGGTTTATGATATCATCATATTTTAACCAAGATAAGAGTCTCCCATTTTCTTTGAAAAGCACTCAAAAGGTGACTTTAATAAACATGTAAATGCTATAGATGTTAAAACATCAAAGAGAAGGAAGATAAAATAGGGAAAGGAATTAACATTTATAAAGCTGTAAATATTTGCTAGGTGCTCTGCATGACAGTCTCCTTTAATCCTGATCAAAATGCTGTGGAGTAGATATTGTTCCTGTCTTTCAGATGAAGATATATTAAGCCTCTGAGTGTACAGTAACTTCAAAGTATCAGCAATAGTTGTTAGTGCCAGAATTTGAGTTTGAACTCAGTTCATCCTGCTTCAGGGTCCTTGTCCTCTGACTTAAGAACGTAATAGTGAAAATAGGCCAAAAGCTAAAAAGATTGAAATTGAAAGCCTTTGAAAAGAGGCACATGCATTTAAAAGTATATGAGAAGAAATATTAAACATTAGTCTTTCTCTTTTAAAATATAAAACCTGTTTCTTTAATTTTGACACTAAGTTAGTTGCTTGTCCTGCTTTAGATGTTAAAACAGAAATGAATGAACATTTTAATTTCCTCATCATAGCTATTTCATTGTTTTCTCAGTTCTTGCACGTAAGTCAGTTTGACTTTCTGGTTGTTTTTATACTTCCTGATTATAGGTTTCTAACATGTCAGCAGTATCAGGTAATAAAACAAATGCAGGTCAGATCATGTTACAATAAAACTCCTTGTATAATTTATGTGCATTTTCAGGTTCTAGGCTTATAAGCCTTTTTTTGTTGAAGACTCCAAGGTTGAAGAAATAATTTAATTTTAGAAATTATTAACTTGAACTTGAATGTAGCAAGGTTTGATTGCATATTAATTTATTGAGAGGTTCTGCCTCATTTAAATAGGAATCTTTTATTTCTATCACATTTCTCATATTTTTTATTTTCATGCAGTCAAAAATATGACTGTGTGTAAACAAATTCTGAACCACTTGGATTCCTCTATGGCTTAGAAAAAGAAACTAGGTAAGGCTGAATACAAAATATATTTCGTATGTGCTGGTAAAATGAAGATGCTTTCCCTTCGCTAGGTTGTCTTCTAAACCGCTTTATAAACACTGGCGTGCTCCAGGGCTCAGCCCAGAGCCAGTTCGTTCCTCCGTGTTTCCTCACTCCCTCAATGATTACTTCAGTCCCAGGACTTAAAACACCATCCTTATGCTGATGACTCCCAAATACCAGAAGGGATCACCACCACCACCCTAGTTCAAATCACTGTTTTTTCCTGCTGGGACAATTGCAGCCTCTTAATTGGTCTGTCCACCTTCACTCCTGTTCCCCTGCTGTCATCTCTCTTGCTGCCCAAGTAATCTTTTTAAAACTCAGTATTTTCTCCTCACATTCAGAATAAAATCCAAAGTCCTTATTAGGTTCTTCAAGGATATACATTGTGTGTTTTATCTCTCTGTCTTCATCTCTTACTACTTTTTCCCTCTAGCAGTAGTGTCCTTGCTATTTCTCAGGCATATCAACCCTCTTCCCCCCCTTCAAGGCGTTTGCTATTTATTCCGTCTCTTCCTGATGTTCCTTCTCTTGTTTTTTCCCCCCCAGATATTTGCATGGCTCACTTTCCCATCATGAAGATCTCTGATAAAAATGTCACCTTCTTAGAGGCGTCTTCCCTATTCTCTTGTATAGTTTATGTGTTCCTCATTCGAATAAGTTCAATGAGGTTACTGACTGTATCTTGTCCGTCACTGTGTTCCCCAGTCCCTAGAACAGTGACTGGCTGTTCTACATAGAAGCAGATGCTCAATGAATATGTTACGTGTGTAGTTAAGTGCCCAAGCGCTCACAGA